TTTTATTCTCTCTTAACTCAAAAATCAAAAGTGGAAAGTCCTACCACTGCTTCAGAACCAGGGAAAAGCCCAAATGCTTCATTCAATAGTTCACTGAATGAGGCAGCCAAACCATCTCCAGTAATGGAATCAAGTTTTCCTGATGAAACAAAGGATCAGACAGTTGCCAAAGAGTCCATAGAAACATCTGTGCTGGCCTCCGAACAGACCGATTATCTTTTACCAGATCTTAAGGGCAAAGCTGAGCTAGAAGAAAGTCAATTCCTTCTTCCAGTGCTGACTCCAGAACTGGGACTAGATGAGACACCATCTTTTACAGCTTTCCTAATTGCTGAAGCCAAGAAGGAGGCACTCGGTTCACCCATGGCCCTGAAGACTGTGCCACAGGAATTGAATTCCATTCCAGAAGATTCTGTTTCTGAAGAAGTGAAGGGAATGGCTCCTCCTGACTCACCCCTGTCTGCCGAACTGCTTTCCCATGAAATGTTTTCATCATATGCTCTTTCTGCTGATGAGAAACAAGACCAATCACGTTACTTTGATTCCCCAGTCACAAATGATCTGGCTACTGGAAAAGTGGGCATGCAAGATGCTCAGTCTCACTTGCTTGTTACTGCACAGTCTGAAATGATCGGTCAGGATACCAAGGCTTGTTGCCCTGAGACAGCACAACTGAAGCATGAAGATTTGACCTTACTGGATTCCACAGAAGAGATCAAGGAGCAAGAGACTCCTCTGCACTCATTTCCCACTGGGCCATCCGCACCTTTACACCAAGAATTGTTGTGCAACAAAGGTGAAGAGGAAATCCAAGAAAGGGTACCTTTGCAGACTGAGCACTCCAAGGAGCATGCTGTTCTCTCAAACTCTTCCATCATGCAAGAGGAACTAGAGCAGCTAAAGTTATTGGAATCAGGAAAAGAATCATCAATAGAAGAAATTCAGCCTTTTTCTTCTACCTTTGTTCAAGATTCACCCAAACTGCCTGGTGAGACAGGATCACAGGGACAACAGGACTACTTGCTTCAAACTGCAGAATTGGGCTCTGTAGCTTCAATGTTATCTCAGTTAATGGATGAAGCAAAGAAACAAGAACTTCATCAGCCACCACCTGCAGACTTGTCTTGTTCCTCAGAAATACAATTGTATTCATCTGAAGCACAGAATCAGAACTCAGAAAAGTCACCAGCAGTTTCATCTTTTCTCCCAGAGAAAGTGGAGGAGCAGCAGGTTAATTCACATCCATCAGCAGTCTCAGTACCTTCACCCAGCTCTGCTCTGCTGGATGTATCTGACAAGGACAAGAAACAAAAGGGAGCAAAGGAGATACCAGAAGAATCCTTGTCCATCACTGCATTTCTCCTTTCTGAGGCAAAGGCGATGCGTGCACGTTGTCCCCTCCCCTCTGAAACAGAGAATCTAGATGCTCAACCTCCTTCCAAGGAAGATGGTTTGTTGAAAGAAAGATCAGGAACCGCCTTGGCTCTTCTTCCTGAAACAAATGTAACTATTAAGAGAGAAGCTGAGCCTTCTTTGACACATTTTGAATCAGAGCAGTTTACTAATAAACCTCAAACAGATATTATTTCAAGCTGTTCCCTTGAAGAAAGAACAGAAAACATTTCTGATATTCCTACATTACCTCAGATTGAACCCTCCTGTGCCTTGATACTAAAACCCATAAATGATACTCATGCACATGACCCCGATTCATCAGTAAATTCAGCAGACTCTAACACAATGGATAGTAAGACTATGGTAATTAATGAGGTTGTTCTTGCAAAAACAGAAGAAGAAACATATTTGCCCAGTGTGGACAGAGATCTGAAAGAACCTGAGAAATACTTACAAAAAGAAAAGGGCTTAGAAGATGAGGAAAAACAAAGAGAATTGATACCTGCTCCTGAGCTTGATCAAGAAAAAGATACCTTTACTATTTCTGAAGGTTACCAGGTAGGAAAAATCCAAGCTCCTCCACTAATTTCTCCTGTTGATAAAGACAAGCACATGCTTGAGAGTTTAGAATACTTGGAAGCAGTTCCATTGTTGAAAACAAAACCATTTCATGATACTGAAGACGTGGTTCTTCAGCAGGAACCTTCAGTGGGTAAAATTTTAGAAGGCTTGAAAGCAGACATTCATGAAAATAAGGGAAATGAATCAAAGGAACTTACGAAAGCAAAAGGAGTCCAGGAAAGTGCAGAAACCACAATCGAAGTTTCTGCTATCCCAGAAAACAAGTGTTATGGAATTTTAAAAGCCACTGATATTGATTACTTTGAAAAGTATACCTTGACTGATGAAACTTCCTTCACCCAGACAGGGAAAGAACAGTCTATCAAAGATGTGCAGAGGTCATTTGACATTACAAATGAACATTCTGAGGAAGGAACATCTCCAGTTTCAAGCTCAGAGAGTATTTTAAAATTCTCTTCATTAGAAAAAGACTTGGATAAAGCCAAGAAAGAAAATGCAACCATTACCCATGAAGCCACTTCAAAGATACTAAATGAAGCAGCAGCTACCAAAGGAAATTCTGAAAACACAGCGGGTGAACTTAACTTGCTAGCTGCTGATGCACCCTTATTTAACACAGGAAAAGATGTGTTATGCCAATCTCCATTAACTCCCCTGCCTACTACTGTAGTGAGCCCTGGATTTCTAGAAGCACCACCTGCTTTGTCATTTTTATATGAAGATCTCTATGAAGGAGTAGTAGAAGAATTAAAAGAAGATAGCAGCAAATATCCATCCAATGAAAAAACTGAGTATACAGAAAATGATGTTCATATTAGAGGTCATGCTTCAGATGATGGGTCTGGAATATATTGTAAAAAGGACATTCCTGATGATTCTGTTCCAAATACTTCAGAAGAATCCCAAACAGAGAAAGTTCTAAAAGATCAGCCTATTATTGGACAAGCTTTAAATGAACCAAGAGTCACAGAAAGTGCATGGGAACCAAGTGAAAAGAAACATGAACCTCCTCACATTCCAGCTGAAGCACCTGCCCCCGGAGGGGTCATATCACCAACTGGAGTTATGGAGAGTCAGAGCAATACATTGATAGAGAGCCCAGCTGAGATTATTAGTGATGTAAAAGTTGAAATTTGCCGGCCAACATATGCGATTCCTTTTGGAAGTGGATTCTATAGCTCGGGTGCAAGTAATGATGACAGCGGCCAAATAAGAGAAGAACAATATGTGACTGAAGAAACAGACCAGGTATTACCTGAGGAAACAAGTGATGAGGAGTCTAGTCCAATCCTTGATTATGCAGCAACTGTATATCAACATGAAGCATCTGTGCAAAATGAAGCCCAGGAAGTTGCTGATTTGGCAGTTGACCAAAGCCAACAGTCTGAAATAACAGAAGTCCATGAAATGTATAATGATGTCATAAAACCTTTGGAAGAAAGTCCACGTTCTTTTGAAGCATCACAGGATGCTGACTCTCACAGGCAAAATGAGGGGCAAGCAGAAGGCAACGTAATGGCAGCCGTTGATGAGTCCATGACACAGGAAGCACATCTTTTAGATCACAACCATCTCGCCTGTCAGGAGACTGAGAGGCAGGCTTCTGAACAAAGCGTTGGAGAATATACTGTTCATGATCTAACTGAGCTCAACAGAGAAACAACAGACCAACAAGAACCAAAAGAATTATCTGACCAACCATTTGTGGAACTGGACTATTCTCTTTTATCACATGAGTTTGATACCTATCCATTATATTCAATAAAAGAAGAAGAGTACAGTGACATTGATGAAGATCTAGCAGAACTCATGGACTATGAAATGGTTGCCCGAGATGATGTCTTTCAGGAAGAAATATCCTCAGAAGCAGCTCATGAAGAGCTGCTGCTTGATGACAGAAAATCCTTAGATCATATTAGTGATACTTACGAATTTGTGAATGAAAGAGAGGCAAGTATGTATCCTGAAGAAGAGGAATTTGAGTTGATGAATTCTGAAAAGCTACCAAGAAATATTCCAGAAACTGAGATCCTACAGGAAGAAATAGATTGGGCACAATTGGATAGCTATTGCTACCAATGTCAGTGTCCTATCTCTGGCGAGGACAAGCTTTTTGGGGAGCATAAAGAGCATGATGTGACAGACTTGGATAGAGCCGCGACTGTATTAAAGGTAAGCAATTAACATTTTGGAATTACTGAACTGTGTTCTCGTTAACTCTGATGTTTACTTAAGGATGTTTCCCTGGAATATAGAGTACACAGCACAAGCTCAGGAGAGCCAACAATTCTTAGTGACCTAATGTAGGTTGCATTCTATTGTGCTTGAAACACATTCAGTGCAGTGTTAATTCAAGTATTTTCACAATTAAGCTGCTTTTTCCGGCAGCTGAGGGTTCCCCTCTCTTTTTCCTGTTGGATAAAAATACAGATAATTAGTGAGAAACAATCTCTCCCCTGTACCTCTGAGCTCATCAAAATTAGAGTCTCCCTATGGCTACTTAAAATCTGAAGATGCAGTCATGGATCTCTTGCATTATATCTGCTTTGATCCGTAGTCTGGAATTTTGAAAGTCTTTTAACATATACAAGAGCATGATTCTTTGCTGGCCCTCCTGAATGCAAGTGATTTTGTTTGGCCTACCAGTGCACCTACCGTAATGTAATGCTTCCTCAAACACCAGATCTTGAGGGATACTTTTTCACAACTGGCACCCAGTATCCTAAGCACTGTCTTATGAGTCCCGGAAGTCCGTGGTGGATTTGTGCTGCGATTTATCAAGTGAACAAGCTGAGTGAAAAAGCATGTTTGGGAAGCTTCATTAAAAGATTTTGATATGGGAGGTGGACAAAAAGAAGGGGGGAAGCCCACACTCTGGGGGATCCTGGCCTTTCTTTTATTGTACCATTTCAAAAGCAAGGAATATACCTAATGAAATAAAACACACACAGGATGATATCCTGTCGTGCTCCTGGATTATTTGAGGTAGCGGAAAGCACTTCCACTCATGTAAGGTGAGGAACCTAATTTCCGCCAAGGTTGCCAGCCTAGTGCAGCCTTCCATGCCATGTCCAGTGTGGTGTAGTGGTTAAGAGCATGGGACTGGGAGTCAGGTGATCTGGTCCTAATCCCCGCTCAGCCATGGAGCCAACTGGGTGACTTTGGGCCAGTCACAGACTCTCAGCCCAGCCTACCTCACAGGGTTGTTGTTGTGGGGTTAAGATGGAGGAGAGGTAAGCTGCCTTGAGCCCTTTGTAGCAAAAAGGCAGGATATAAATTGCAATATAAATAAATAAATAATCCCTAAAATAGGTATGTAGAACCACTGTGTGCTCAAGGCCTAGACTGAAGATGCTCTTAGGAGCCACATTCAGTGGTGAACAGATGCAGGAATCCCAGCAATTTTTAGTTTAACATTCTTACTGCCAGTAGCTAAGCCATTAGAAAGGCACTTCAACCATTCAGAATTTCAAAAAAAAAAACCTTATAAAAATGGTGGTCAGAAGAAAAGCAGCATCACTGTCTAGGGATCCTTGGGGGCCAGATTGGGACCACAGACAAGCTGGATTTGTCCTCCAGGCTTGAGGTTCTGCACTCCTGTCTTTCAATAACTCTATAAAGTAGACCAATATTAATATCTCCAGATTCCAATTGATAGAAGAAAGCTGAGAGCATAGTGGCTTGCTTAATGCCATGAAGGCAAAAGTGAATTTCGAACCACTGCTTCCTCAGATGACACTCATAACCACTGCATTGTGCTAGCTTTCTAACATGCTCTTCAATGTCCTGTCAATTACTCATGTGAACAACTTTTTAATAGGGGTGGAATTCATTGATGTCCATTACAAAACACCCATTGATTTGTAACACAACTTGCTTCCTTCTCAGTCTATAAAGAATCCATACTACAATGGTGAATGAGAAGGAATTGCTAAGAATAACAGGAAAGTCACATGCCTCTCTTTCATCCCTAGAGAGGTTTCTTCAAAGTCAAAGGACTTGAGCATACACCATGATATCATCCCTTGGCTCTGTTATTCAGACAGCAAGCCAAAAATTAATTCTAGGCTAGCTATGAAACAAACCTGATTCCCTTGTAGAATCCTGCAGTTGGAAGGGGCCTAGAAGGTCATCATCTCCAACCCACTGCTCAAGGCAGGACTAACGTCTTCCATCCAGATTTTAACCAGGCCTAATCTCTGTTTAGCTTTCAAGACACAGTAGGATCAGGCATTTTGGGCTATACAGAAGCTCAAGCCAATATTTGTTCCATCAGGCAAAACACTGCTTTGACTCTTGCACCCTTTCTATCTTGTGTGTACTATTAATAAGTTACTGTGTTCTTCTAGGAGGTGCTCAGGTAACAGGACACTCACTGCCTTGGCTTTCATCAGCTATGTAATGTGTTCTGTCTTTTAATATGCTAATAAAGGCTATTTAAAAAATTCCCAGCAAAACACACATTCACCTTGGAACCGCAGAATGCTTTTTGTCCTGTGAATTCATGCATACACTCAGTCTATATATTGCAATTTGATGTATGCATTTTGTAATTTCCAGGTCACACACCAGTTTGAGTCTTGCTTTAACTGTCCTTTTAGGTATACAGAGGAATCTGACTAGCGTCAAGGGTGTTTACGAAAGAGAAACTGCTTTTGAACAGATGGCCCAAGTGTTCCAAAGGAAGGTCAAGGAGCTACAGCAGGAGAGACAGTTATAACTCATGAGTGTTGTCCTCCATTATTTGAAGAACCTAATCCTTCATAACTTCTGAGAAGCAGTTTCAGAAGTTCAGGAAAAGCAAGCCAAATACAATTAGGGATGTTAATCACTTAAGAATTATTTTACTTGGTTGAACACACTTCTCGGAATCCGAAGGACTGCATGCAATAGCATAGTCTGTCAAGGCCATATTTTCTCCTACAGTTCTGCAAACCCATGCTAAAAATCCTCCACTCCTGAAGGCAAGCAGATTCTCTAGAATGGTGTTCAATGTGATTGCAGCTAAAACAAAAAATCAGCTGCCTTTCCCTGATCTTATATAATCAAAATGCTTAAAGACAGTCCTTTGGGATACTGGCCATAGATTTTAATAAATAAATTGATTGCTTCATTGATTACATCTAATTAAATATACTCATCACTAAAGCCTCACTCTGACTTCCTTTTTGATGATACTATTTTATCATTTAATCAGTAAAGACTAGCGCTTGTTTGAAGGAAATGTCATCTTTAGTACTTTAATAAGGATTGGAAAATAAACTAATGTGCTAAAGCCAAGTTTTTATACAAGTGCCTTCAGCCTTACTGCTCTAATAAAATTTAACCCATCAATTATTCAACTGATTAGTGGATTAATGTACTATTTAAATCTATGAAAGTTTCCAAGCTTCATAAGGAAATGGAATTGTAGAAAACCCTGTCAGTACATCTTATTTTATTTTTTCAGCTTTTTGCCTACCTCAGGTTCTTCATAATTACTGGCATGATTCTCTCTTTCTCCAATATAGTTTGTGTTCCAGTAAATTCTCAACTATAGCTCAATATCAGTTGCTATACATATGTCAGCCAGTTATTTCCAGCTGTGGGGATTTCTGGATCCCTATCAGAGGGTGCACACCTTACATGCTGAGAAGGTCTGAGGACATCAGAAAGGTCAAGAGCAACACCACCAGGAGACCGGGTTCTTTCATTAGACTTGTCTCCTAGCAGAGTCACCCAAGGCAGAATGGCCAGAACTGAGACACTAGACTAAGATGCATCCACTCTCTTCAGGAGTAACAGCCATGTCAGCCAAAGAGAATGGCTATCTGGGCAATGCATCTGGTCCTTGTAGGGCAACAATGAAGCAGAGAGTTAGCAGATTGTATTTTTAAAGATTCAGCATTTTGATCGTGTCTAGTTCTATGTGTAAAAAAATATAAAGCATCCCCCACTTACCTTATGACCACTTTACTTATATGGTTCTCAACGCTTTTTTTAATTTCAGAGTCAATTGGATGGATCCTTAGATGTTTTGCAAGAAAGGTCTTTGAAGATTGAGGGGTTTGTTGGTGAAATAGAAGCTCTGTTTAATTCTCTTGAGGTAAGTTTGGCCTGAGAGAGCTCCAGACTGTGGGCAGGACACAATGCTGCCCATGTGCTAGACTGGCTCACTGCTAGCTCTTCCTCAAACATCCAGAATGTGCAGAAACTCTAGTTTCCAGAACAAAGTGGATCAGCAGGAATTACTGAGGGGAGCTCTGCTGATCAGTCCCATTCTGGAAACGAATCTTACTGTTCATTCCTACCATTGTTTTTGTAAGCGTTAGTTCCTGTTGTGATAGCGAAAGTTCTCATGGGTACTCTAGCTGAGGCACACTGAGGCATTAGATGTTGCCCTGTTATCAGAAAGGAAAATTAAATTAACAAAAAACTACTGAGGGTGTAAACTATGCTTACTAACTTCCTTTTAGCCAGGATTATGATACTTGTAACCATTTCCTCAGTAACCTTCTGAGAATTTTAAAGAGACATAGTAGGATATCCTTTCCGAATAGCACGCATCAATCACTGACTGATGGGTTGTATCCATCCTTGATGAATTTACTTTTTTGCATAGCTTGATATCATTGATGTCAGCCCTGCATGTTCTTTAGAGCAGCTAGCAATTCCAGTCTCAGAATCTTGGGGAACTGATGGGAGCTTGTTGCTTTGAGATTTGATGCTGTCAAATACTGAATCAGTATTGCAACATAGTAGAAGGCACAGCTTACACACAAGATGCCTTTATCACATGTATACAAAGGCAAGACTCAGTGGAGAAGACAATGATGTCAAAGGCAGTAGAAGAAAAAGAAGACCAAGTAAGAGATGGTTTGACTCCATAGAGGAAGGCACAGCCTTGAATTTCGAGCAGGGCTGTCATGGGTAGGACATTTTGGAGGGCTTTCATTCATAGGGTTGCCATAAATCACAGATTAATTGACAGCACATAACAACAAGAACATGCAAAGATACACAGTACACAAAATGCCATTCATATGAAATACATAAGATATTCAGCAAAGGACCCAACTACAGAATACATTTGTTCCAATGAGTAGTCTTTGTCAAGTTCATACGATTAAGACCAGTTGTTTGGAGTAAACTTTTCTGCAGAAATCCAGTAGTCCAATATCAAGCTGAAATCTCCCACTCATCCGGTAGTGCTTGTGCTCTTTCAGCTGTAAGGCCTTCGACAAAGAATGCTGCAATATCTTAATGTGCAATTCTATCACACATGAGAATACCAAAGCAAGTAATGCTTAGCACTCAAGTGTCAAACAAACATATATCATGCCAAAGGCTCTAGGACAGTTCCTTACTATTCTTGGCTCTTAAGAAATCGTTCAAGCAAGGGCAGAATAAAAATAACACCATGTTCAGCTGACCGTATTACAGCCGCACTAATCAACCAAAGAAAACAAAATGGAGTGAACAATCCTACGGTCCTTAGACAGTGTCAGAGGGTCTATGGGAGAGTTCAGATTACCAGTTCCACAGCAGCACTCCAGTCTTGCAGCTGGGAATCAGAACTCTGCCTATTCCTTGACCCCTCACAGAAGGTGCGGAAAGTTCTGGCTATACTGCGAGGTTCGGGAAATCACCTTGGGGAAGCATAAAAGGGGGAGTAGGAGAGGCAGGAATGGGAGGGATTCTGAAGTCACTCCAAGTTCCTTTCCACTCCCTCTGAATCACTGTTGCTGGACAGCAGAAAATGGCCACCTAGCAAGCATGCAGCATGGGAGGAGTGGGGAGCTGATTGCCTCTGCCATGCCTGCTTTGCACTGGCTGAGCATGAGCCTCCAAGTCATGGCCACCTCCGCAGTGTGACGTCACCTGTCCTCCTTGTTTCTACATCAAATTTCCTCATTGTGATTCCCTCCTTGGGCTATAACTCTTATCAGCCTAGGCAATAAGGCCAGCCATCAGTTTTTAATTTATTTGATTAGTACTCTACCTTTCTGTGAGAGAACTGCATTCAATGGGACTTGTCATCCCAAAGATGTGGAGAGCAACAGGCTAGAGAAGACTAATCTAGTGTATCATTTTCTTTTTCAGCTGACAGCAGCTGTTCACAGTCTCAAGCATGGCTCTTTCCCAGCCCTCATCTCTGAGATCTTTTTTACTGGAGATGCCAGGGGCTGAAAATGGGGCCTTCTTCATGTAAAGTACAGTATGTGCTGTATTGATGAGTTGTGGCCTTTTTCTTTTATGCCTGAACTGGACGGACTCTTGGAAGTGGTTGTATGACTGGACAGCAGGTGAAGGTCACAAGGTTCACATGATCATTTTCAGCCATGGTGGTTTATATACTCCAAAATGGTTTGTGGTATGAGCACCGATCCCATAACCCAACCCACATTCTCATAGGATGTTGTGTCTTCTGAAGCTGGTGAAGGTGGGTGATTGGAATGGTTAGCAAACGACCCACAAAATGCTGAAAAGTCCCATGGGTTCTGAGCGGTTTGTTAACCATAGCAACAACCAACCCTTGCCAGGTTCAGATTAGATGGCAACCTACAAGTGGGGTTCATGTATGGAACCTTTTAATCTTTTCTAGCTATTTCTTTTCTATGTGTAGTGTTTTCCTCCACATAATTATTCTTCAAGCTATTCATAGCTAGTGTGCACAGATTTTTTTCCGTTTTAAAGATGGAGATCACCTCCAGAAAAATGGTAGACACTCTCACTGTATATGTGGGATAGCCCAGATAATATTGCTTCCACCATTCCATCCTTGTCCAGTCAGTCAAGGCAAAAAATCAGGCTATATTTTCTGTGCAAGGAAAATAATATAATTCTGGGATCCCCCAAGCTTGACACCAGGACCAGTCCTGCCATGCAGCCGGGTGAACTGATCCAATTCAGGCAGTCACCACCTTGAGCCCCAGTCACTGGAAATAGGCAGGATAGTATTATTAACAATGTAATATATTAATAACTAATGCATTAATGTGTAATAACAATGTATTATTAATGTACTGATAATATAATATATTGATAATAATACCACGGCAAGCATAGAATTGATGTCTAAATGCTACAGTAAGAGTTTTCAATAAGTTGGCCCTTACAAGGAGGGATGTGTGTTGGGCTCTAGTTCACTTAGCAAAGTTTCTTGGTCCAGTATAGCCTGCCATCTGTCTGTCACCTGCCTGTCCCAGGGTATCCTTACTTCCCTTCTCATGGTGATGCCAGGCTGCCCACATATTAGCAGAGACTGACAGGGTTAGCCCTACCATTTGGCAGAGGGAGGCAGCCATCCCAGGCAACAGATGCTATGGATGTATAGAGAAGGGGCTGCATTATTCTCCCACCTGGTGTTCTTCCCATGTCTCTCCAGCATGTATCCTCTTTTGAAGGGCTTCTCCGTGCCACATGGCCTGCTTTGGCATCCTCAAGCGAGCCTGCTGCCCTCGAGCGCAGTGGAGAACACTGTCCTGTCTGCTGTTCATTTATTTGTTGTTTTTGTTATTGTTGTTGCGGGCCATCAAGTCGTTTCCAACTTTTGTCAACCCTATGAATGAAGGCCCTGTTCTTGGTAACCCTGATCAGTTCTTCTAAATGGCTTATTTCCAGTGCTGAATGAAATAAGATTCTGTTGACAAGCCTGTTTTTTTAAAATGTAGAATGGGTGTTAATGGGTTTATGTTGTTATTTTTTGTATTTTAACTTTATGTTGTGAGCTGCCCCGAGGCTTCGGCGAATGGAGCGGCATAGAAATGTTTTAATAAATAAAATAAAATAAAATAAAATAAATGGTCAGCTTGTCCTTTACCTCTGACAACGAAATTCCTTGACAACAAAATTCCAGGCTGAAATGCCAGACAGAGAAAGAAAGAAAAATCAGGATGACCTGGGCTATTCTTTCTCCAATAGCCATAGAATAAGAGATGCCGCCAATACGATGACTTTGCTTTTCAAGGCATGACTTCAGCTCTTCTCATTGCATACTTATGTTCTTTTCCTGGAACATCACTTGTCATGTGTTCTGTATGACGGTTAAACATAGAAAACAGCATCTTCTCTTTGGAAAGATCTGGCCTAGGAAATGTGGCCTTGAAATCTCCAATGCAAAGAAGTCAAGTTGAATGAATTTTATTTTTCCATTATTTAGAATATTGTGGATATTTTTCCTTCTAGGAAAACTGTAAGGAAAAGGAGCAGCTTTTAGAAGAACAAAATGAAAGTATCATCAAGATGGTGGTGGAGAACCATGACAGAAAGGCACAAAGCTTTGAGGAAGTAAAGAACACAAAAATGGAGTATCTTTATGAACAGATGGTGAATTTTCAAGACTATATTGATACAGCAAAGGATACGCTGGAGACTATAATAAGAGAAACTGAGGGAATGGATGATTTTGTATTTCTACAGGTATGTATAAAACTTCAATAAGGTTCCAGAGGTTTGCAAAATAAATGTATATATATTATATGATTTCTTAATACATCTACATGTGAGTAGTGATTGCCTCTTTAGCAGTCACATGGCTGGGAGAGAACTTTAAAGCTGAAATCCTATACACACTGAACTAGGAGTAAGGGTTTTCCAGATAGAAGTTTTCTAGTACTACCAGTACTACCAAATTATTGTGCACCTATTCCATCTTTTCCTCCTTAACAGATTTTATTTCTGGTAAGGAAAAAGACCAAAAAGTGGTAAGAAAATACAGCAAGGTTAACAATGGAAGAAAATGACCACATGCCTGCTCCCTTATAAAATAGTTGGTTTCCGGGATAAAGCAAACATGAGAAACACAGCAGCACTGTTGGCTGCAGAAAATCTTAGCAGGCCTAAATAGCCCTAGTGGAACCCAGTGGTCTCCTCTCTGAAATAAGCCAAACCTGCAAAATCTGTCATGAACAGTTGACCAGCCAGGAAGGGAAACAAATCAATAATATGGAAATATGAAGCATGTTCAGGAGCATGAGTGATTGGAACAGAGTGGGCTTTTTAAACGTTCTCCTGAATCTGGTCATTGTGTAGCCCAGGTTGGCAACCTATTTGGGACCACGGTCACATTTGGCAATTTGATGAACAGTTGTGGGCAGCACTACAAAATGGCCCCTGTATGAGGCAGGAATATTTACAAAGATCAAGTAACCTATGCAAAGGACTGAGCACAAGGTATAGGCAGGGTTGGAGCCCCAACATATACAACCGATCTTTTAAATCTTCACTTTTTGTGCCCACAGAAACATATCTGTTCATTTTCTAAAAAGTGGGAGACGTGGGAACCAAGAAAATTGTTCAGGGGCACAAAGGTAGCTGTCAATACAAAGTTGCTTGCTAGAGTACATAAAGCTTAATGAGATTTGGGGTGGAGACCAAGAATTAGAGAAATAATCTGTAAGAAAGTTATTCAGAACTTCTTCACAGACATTTGTTAAAATTAGTAAATCTGAGCTGATAGTTCATATTAAAGATCCTAGAAGCAGATGCTGCAAGACTTTAAGGTTGTGTTAAGTACTCAAATTTAAGTTTCTTAATTAATCTTTGTGACTTGTAGAAGCAGTAGGATGTCTTTTTATTTTTCCAGTCAGGCCATTTTAAGAGTATTGTTTGAAGTAAAGAAGAAATACAATGTGGCAACTATATTTGGGGAACCTCTAACCTTGTGCTTGATGGTTCAGCCCTTAGCAGTATCATCCTATCTCTGTTTACTTAGGACTAAGTCCCACTGTATTCATTGAGGGTTGCTTGTAACTATTCACAGGATTGCAGTCTAAACCTCTTTCTTCTTCTGGTCACATTTATCTTGGATTCCCCCTGAAGGTCCCTGAGATGCCTAGCAGCCTGTGCCCAACCTCTTGCAATCCTGCGCATATGCAGTGGCAAATTTTGAGGCACAGGTGCTCACTGTGACAGTCCCCATCACCACACCTCCAAGAAGAGGCCAAAAGTTCAGGCATCTGTTTTGATCCACATCAACAAACCAGTTCTTGTAGTTTTCATCTCCACCAGGAGCAGATCATTTGCAAACCTTAGGTTATAGCTGCCCATTTAAGACTAAGCTACCCCAAAATACTTAGATAATATGGGGTAATAGGAGACAATATGTTATTGCCTGGAAATTTAACCTGCTGCACCATATCCCGCCAAATACTGTGGGGACTGCAACTTAGTTTGGAAAGAATGTGGAATTCCAACTGGGGTGGCAGATGAGGTCAGAGTCTCTGATAATAAAAAAGTGCCGTGATAGCATCCCTTGGGGCCCTGGTGCCACTAGTACACCACGGCATGGTTCCACTACATGAGTAGGATTGTGATGTTAGTCTCTATAGGTGGATTGCTGCTGCCATTTGTCAAGAACACCACTGCTATCTCAGTAATAGCAGGAGAAGGACCCCATGGCTCTGGACTGATTCATTTCCCAAGTGAAGCTACAGCTTAAGATATTGGTAATTGATTTGTACAATTAAAAGTAAACTGAAATACAGCAGGGTTGTATGGCACATAAAGCTGCTGAAGCTTGGAGTGTCTTAACTGTTACTGGGAGTGTGTAAGCTGATGACCAAATGTAGATATATTACATTTTCATTGTGGTGCTGGAATACAAGACTTTGCAGGTGTTGGTGCACAAAATTATTATAAAGTTAGGAAAGCCCAGCCTTATACAAGATTTGGCCTAGATGGAGTATTTCAATACATGGAATCTCATAAAGATTGGATGTTTGTTATGTTTTGTAATATGCATTAATTCATTCCTTCCCCACCTTTCCTTCCCATAGTCATCGGAAGAAATAAACAAAAGGTATATGAAATGTGGCTTGGGTGCATTGTAGTGAGTATTAGGATCAGCATGTTTGAATGCTTTAATACTTGCAAGCTCTATTGAGGGATGCTGCTATTATAAATGCTTTATTTTAGAAATGCCTAGATATTAAGGAGGAAAATGTGTGCTCGGCATTGCAGCTGCAAGTATTTGAGATATTTTGCATGTATCTTGTAATTCATAATTTAAATACTAATAAATATGGCTTTATTAAATTTCATCTCTTTTGCAGAAGCATCTGCAAAAATGTCTTTAAGCAGGTGTTTATCAGGTTGTACAAAACGATTTTAAAATTCCAATTGCAGTCTGTAAAATGCCAATATTTGTGAGTGTTCATGTTTTGCTGATTTAATTTCCATATTAGATGAAACGCTAATAGAAACGATCCTGGATGACAGTTTGGTAGGCAGTGCTAAATTTAAACCATACCATAAGTGAGGCTTCCAACCCTAGTGCAGTTTGAATCTGTTTTGTTATTTATGCCTCCTCCAACAGGAAGATTAAACACAAAGTAAACCTAGTTTGTTTATTTGTAGAATTTTTGTTTCACTGTTTAGCCCATGGGTCCTCAAACTATGATCCAGGGGCCGGATCCAGCCCGCCATGGTCATTTATCCAGCCTGCCTCAGAGCTTTTCAATGCACTGCATGTGCCTGCCGCCGCCCACCTTGCCCCCACGTGGGGGGGGGGGGTGCAGCTTGCTCGTGAGGAAATTGTTTTGGACTCGCTAAGTCCAAGCAAGCAAGCAAGCAAGCCACTGCATCACACACCCGCCGCTGCATCGCGACGCGTGCCTGCCCCCGCCTCGCCTCCCCTCCCCTAGTCTCCCCTCGCTGTGCCCGCCTGCCCATGCCTCGCTGTGCATGCGCGCGCACCCTGCCCCCCCGCCTCAGCGTGCGTGCCCCACCCCCACTCCCGTGTGCCCTGCCGGCACCACCTTTCCGGCCCACGCTCAGCACCAGCACCTTTCAACTGGCCCCCTGGTGAAAAAGTTTGAGGACCCCTGGTTTAGCCAAAAAGTTCCTATAGTGTCTTATGAGAAATAAGACAATATCTGCCCAAAGGTTTCAATCTAAAACTCACAATGAAAAAGGAAAGAGGATTTGGAGGGAAAAGGGGGGAAAAAAGCAAATTAAGGCACTAAATTCTTAGTTGCAATTCTGCAGAACATGGAATTCTAAACACACAGAAGGCTGTTTCTTCTTCTGAAGTCATCAGCAGTGTCATTTGGTAGCTGATGTACTCCTCTCTATGATAATATGAATATCAATCTATTTAATTTGGCTTTGGAAAGGCCCTTTAGCGAGAGACAGATGCTCATTTTCACAGAGAGTTGAAAGATGGTTTAATAATGCCACCATGATACAGAAATTTAATTAATTTGCCTCTGTTTCTTGACAAAGAGGTCTTGTGTTTTGGGGGCACTACAAAAACCTCCCAAGACCAGATATAATACTGGGCGAGAGAGGAGAGTCTGTGCACTTCATGGGCAGTGATGACCCCATCAAGCCCCTCTTTGTGTGTTCTTCATACTGAAGGGGGATTGGGACCAAGTAGCTGCCCCATCCCGCAACACTGTTCCTGTCCTCTGCATTCAGTACAGCATCTGCAAGGTACGCTTACTAAATATAATCACATGGACACCTGCAGATCCAGATCGCCAGTTTGGATGTATCACACCAAAAGGTGAACATTGCTGAGGCCCGTGGTGATGCAGCAAGTCCAGCAGTGTGTTTGCACTTCTGTGCATAGGAAACATAAAGCAACCCACGTCATTTGTGCTGAAGTTCCCATTTCAGGATGCCCTGGGGACCCAGTGGAGCCTAAGATACTTCTTCGATTACCTGTGTAGCGATGCTGGCCATGGCTCAGTGCAGACCATGAGCTTCCCCTGCAGAAGGCCGGAGGTGATGATGCAGCCACACAAAGCCCTCCTGATGGTGTGTTTGTGAAGCATTCTGCTGCCTGAAGCAGGAGATTCATCCAACCTCACTAGAGAGCCTGCCCTGTTGAGTCACTTACACTTATAGTGTGGCTGACTGGATCTGTGAGCAAGAGTGCTCCTTTAGGGGTTGAGGATATGCTGCAACTTTTTGTTGGACATCCCACTTCAAAAAGGGAACTCATTGTCCAGGATGATCCTATTTGAACAATAATCCATTTGCTTGTATATACATATATTCTAAGATGATGAGCCATTATATTGCATAAACATCATTTCATGTCCTTTGATATTTGTTCTGTCTCAGAGTTAAAAATATATGCTGTCCTCCCTGTGTAACAAGCTCAGCAAATACAAGCTAATTACTTCTAATCCATTTTGCTTTCATTCCCCCTTCTTTTTTGGGGGGTTGTTAGCTCCCCATCACCAGCTGTTTTATATTTTATCTTTATAATCACATAGCCTCCTGGATGTTACTGTTCATTTTCCAGTGCATTTAAAAATACTTCAGATGTTATTGGCCATCCATTTGAACCCCTGTATTTCTCACGGAGCTTTTTTTGAACTCAAGCCTCAAATGTCTCAGTGCTTCAGAGCTCGGCCATTATGCCTGACATACCTTTGATTACAAGTAGAGTTTCCAGGTATGGATGGGCACCTTGTGCCTCTCCAGAAGTTTCGGTCTGCACCATCCTCCCTCTGCTGGCAGGGCTAATAGGAGCTGCTGGCCAAGACATCTGGATGACCAAATTTTGCTACTCACTTCCCTTAAATTTTACACCAGCAGCAGAGGATTTGTGACAGCTGTGTCTTCAGTCAACTGCTCACCAGTCCTTTGCCCAATTTTTTCTGTTTGCATGAGTAGGGTAGGAAATTAACTAAAGGTCCTTCTTATTACAGCAAGAGAATCCAGAGAGGGCCTCAGGGTTATAAAAGTGAGGAGATACAATGTTCACATCTTCTGCTTCAAAGCCTGTAAATAAGGTGGCCACTTTACAGGGACAGTCCTCTATTTTAGCAGCTGCTCAAGGACAACCCCCTATTTGAAGGCATCCTCTATTGGATGTGCTGCTCATTCTCCAGTCAGATTCAATTCTAAGGGAGAGCTCAGGAAACTTGAGGTTGCCCATCTATAGCAATCGTCTGGACAGCTCACCTGGCCACAGCCTTTCCCACTACAATGCAATGTATGCTTGTTTCTGTTTAAATTACAGTTGCTTTTTCTAATTTTGCATTTATGCATATAAATTAGCTCATGCAAATCTTATGTAAGTCAATGCTCTCTTTTGTTCAAATTGGTGGTGCATTCCTCTTTTTTGGCAATGCACAAATGGCCACCCTACCTATGAAGGAATAGGAAAGCATTCCAGGCTGAGACCTACCAAGCCAGTTTCCAAAGTATGCTCTACTTCAGGGATGAGCAACTTTTTTTTCTGTTGAGGGTCTGGCACTTCTGTGAGGGTGCTGGCTGTGGGTAGAGCCAAAGGTAGCAGTGGGTCCCTTTACTCTTCTGCTAGCTCCTTTTCTTTCTCTTCACTTTTCTTCCCATGCAATGAAATGTTGGGGAAGGGACACAGCGCTCTTTCCAGAAGTCTGAAAAGATTGCACTTAGAGGACTTCAGAAATTAGGCTGAAGTCACCATGTGCCCATCCCTGCCCTACTTGATTTTAGAAACAGTCCCTTTTCTATGATCTTTTCTAGACATTAAAGAATAGGAATCTCGACAAGTCAGGGTTTTCCAGATTATGCATGGTTTAGAGAACTGCAGCTTACAGGTGCTATTAAGATGGCCTTTAAATCAAGTGTATATGTTTTGCTTCACCTAGGTTACTCTCTGCAGTGGAGGAAATTATCACTGTGGAAAAGATGCCTGCTGCATTCTCACAGTTTGAGCATTATGCAGGTGGCTCAGCAAATGCTGACCAGACCTTAACACACATGCCTGGTAAGAATCTGTGTAAACTGTTTGGTGTGAGGCTTGAAATTGTATGAAAACCTTTAAAAATGGAATGCATTTGAAAAAGCAAATTTGGTGCAGCTTGCATGTGCATATAATTAGTAATCATCTGAGTCTAAAGTGAAGCCTGATTGTGTCTAAGTATTTGGATGATGAAAAAATGGAGGAAAAGCAATGAAAACTTGTTCATACTGAAAAGACAAGTCACCTGCAGATCTTCCTTACTCATGGTAAGCAAACTCCAGAGAGCATTTGCATGCATTATGGGGAACAGCTGAACAAAAAAGCCCAAGTAAGGCCACTTTTTGTGTTTCCACACTCATGCGCAAAACGGGAAGATAAATATGTCCCCTGGGAGCTATTCCTGCACTAGGAATTTTCCCTAGAAATACAAACATGGAATAATCAGCCAGACTTTAACAAGCCATTACAGTTTGTTACCCATTCTGTGATTTATGTGCCAGAAGGATTTGCCTAATTACCCTGAGAAGTATAGTTTGTTATATTATACGAACCTGGCCAGGATGGGTGGCTTGTTGCCATGGGTAATAGGCCACCCAGAACTCATGGGCACCTCATGCTAGGCAGCCCTGATTTAAATAATAAATCTATTTCTATTAAATAGTTTTTATATATATTTTTTAATTTTATTAATTATTTTTATTAAATAAGTCTAGCTTTTTTGCTAGACACACCCAATAGGCCACTAGGTTTGCCATGGCTTCTTCTGCCTCTCCTTCCCCTTCAGTCCTCCAGCTGGCTCTGGCAGCCTAGCAGCAGATTCAGAACATGTCTTTCTTGCTCCCTTACCACAGCAGAAGCCTTTTCATGATTGTTCCACTGAATGTTCAGAATGCATTTTGCCCATCAGAAAGTTTTCCCATCCTTTCTCTGCCCCATGCCTCACTGATAGGTGACTATATTTCTACTGAATGCTAACCTGCCTGTGCTGCTTGTTTTGTTGGTTCTTTGGAATGGTTCTCACTCTGTATCCTCTCCCTCTACTCTTCAACTCCCTGCATAGCAGATTTTCTGCTGAAATCCTCCTCCTCCCCCCTCCTCTCCTGCTCTGCCACCCATCCAACTATAACAGTAATTTAACTTTACTGTTAAGTTATATCGTTTTATATTATGTTATTTATGATTGTGAGCCGCCCCGAGGCTTCGGCGAATGGGGCGGCATAGAAGTTCCCTAAATAAATAAATAATAAATACCATCCTACCCCCAACTGTGCAAGAGGACCCCAGCATGCCACAACTCCGCAGAAAATCATTTTGAGAAACAATGGGTATTGATGGCAGCCCTTGGCATAATACCCCCCCTCAAGAATCTAGTTTTCCATTGGAAAGCACACTTAGGCATCACCTGTATGGGGTTACTGTTGGGGTGGGTTGCTGATTGTGATTGGGAAATGCAAAGAATTGAATGTGTGACTTGTGTGGTAGGGTGTAATTATATGTAGAAAAGACAGTTTTGAGAAACTACAGAGGCACTGAAGCTTATGCGAGGAAAGCTGTGCTTCACCAGATATTTATACAGAAGGGGTGTTCCTATGGGAGGGAGGGAGGGAGGGAAGCTACTTTATTCTACATTAACAAGAATAACACAGACTGACACAGAAAGTACTTGTTCAGTTGTAAGTTCTTCTTAGTGACACTCAGAAATAGCTGAATAGATTTTTCTAGCTTCTTCCTCAGTTGCTGGCTCAGATACTGGAATCAAGAGAAGTGGTGCAGTTTCATTTGCTTGCCCATTAATGGCAATGGCATCCTTTTCAGCCTTTGGTTCTGGTAGCTGAGAGTTATCCCAAGGCCACATCCTGCCTTGACTCTTACATGTTGTGCAGAACGCACCAGGTGGTTTGAGGTCGTCTTTCATATACAGAAGTGTATAGAGGGAGCACTCTGATGTGTTTAAGTGGCTAATGGGTGCTCTGTAGGGAGTCTAGCATGGCTATGTTAGCTGGTAAAGCTTCTCTGTGTGCCATCCTTGGAGCCTGGCCTAATACAGTAAGTCATGGTTGAAGTACGGCTGCCTTCTATACAAGAACAAGGGGGTGCATGTGGAGGCCATTTACCATAGTGGGAGGGACACAGCCCTGATTAATCCGCCTGCAGATAGCTCCTCTGCCAGAGTCAAGATTCAGAAGACAGCCATGCCATGGTTTTCCCCCAAAACCCATGGCTAAACATTCACAAATTTCTCTTTAGAGCCACAGGTACCTGGAGGACTGGGCTATGAAAGCAATTAGGCTGTAGAATTTCCCATACCATTCAGGAGGAGCAAAAAGACATACATGCAAGGAGTCCAGAGCCCCTGTTGCACAAGAGATCCCCAGTTCACCAAAACCTGCATGTTATGTCAGTGAGACAGAGCTTTTTCAGAATGCTCACTATCTCTCTGAAGATTTTGCACACAGTAGATTTTGCACCTGATTTGAAGGTTGTGATGAGGTGAAGGTACCAGATATTAAAAGCAAATTTGTACAAGGTCAGCCCAACATTTTTTACTGATATGGGTTTCTAAATTACAATGTCTGAACAGTGGATTGTAGGCATAATTTCTAGTGCTATGCTTTCACTGAGACATATGGAGACTTCTGTGAAATCTGGCACTATTGCAACCATCCCTGTCCAGAATCAAGGTTGACATGGCTTTGGCATGTAGGAGTGATCACCAACAGATGGCACATCTGCCTGCAGCTAACTCTTCCACTGTAACAGCAGGAACCATGGCACTGTGTTCTCCTCCCACAGAGGCTGGCATTTGTAGCCCCTTCAGGCTACTGAACCTTCTTGAAAAAGGCTCTTGATGCAGCCCCATTTCACTTCTTGCCTTCCACCAGTGGCAGAGATGCAGCAAGTGATGTTCAGGTGTTGTGTGACAGTGCTCAAGGACCTCATCTTGGCCATTGCAGGACTAGTAAGGGCTTTTAGAGCAATGCCATCTGCAGCAGAAATGCAGAAATTAGTGCTTCTTCTGTCTAAATTCCCTTCAAAGTACAGGACAGTGATGGAATCAGGCATGTCTCACACTGGTTTGGCTGCTGAGAAAAGAGGAGCTGAGCAAGAAGGTGGGGGCAGAGGCCTGAGAAATTGATAGCTTGAGCTGAGTTACCTTGATTGGCCCCTTAGTATAGGATGGGAGGAAACCAGCACCGTTAGGGTGGCCAGGTAGCAGGGAGTGGAATAATCTACTGCAGCTTGAAAACAGCATTCTCCAGCCTGTAGGCCACAGTGAGCAGGCTGTTCATAGACCAACTTCAGTGTTCATTCTGCTCCAGTACTTGCAGTGAAGTAGGTATCACTTCTCTAAAAGTTGAACTACCATTGTGTTGAGAATGTGGATTGCTGTGAGTGGGCAGCATTGACTGAAGAGGGGAAGAAGCAGAACAATTGAAGAAAGGGAAATAAATGTTTTTGAGAGCATCCAAGGTGATCCCATTTCAACCCCTCACCCCGCCCCAACACACACATTGCTTTCTAGTTATTTATACCACAACCAGTGCAAAATGCAGCTTGGTTCCTTCCGCATCAAATGCCTGCTTGCTGACTTGTGATCCTAAATTTTAAGTGAGCAGCTATACTTCCCCAATACTGCTGGCAATCATGCATCTAAAATGATAGTGAACCATCCCAGATACCCTCCAGTGGAATGCCTAGAGCACAGCAATGCCACACTCTTGAAAGTACATGAGGGAGAAACCCTCTGTGCTAATTTAAGTTACAAACAGAAAGGGAAGAAGCTAAGTGCTATGAGTTCAGGGAAAGAAGATGGAGGGTAGTGTGGCGCAACTGAGTAACTAAGCACCATCACCTTTTCCATTCTGATCTTCCTTTTCCATCTGAACCTCTATCAAAGACCATGGTTGGCAACAGCTGCTGACATCACCGAGGCACCTGGTCTGCCTCCTGCACCTTTTCCAGTGGTGGGAGTTCTGCAGGCTGTATACCTTAGCATGAGGTGACCAATGGATCCACTATAGGGCCCATCCAGAAAGAGAGGATGGTGAGTGGCATATTCAGGTCGCGGAGGAGAAACTGTTACAATGGCACGTAGGGACATGGCATCTCTGGAGCTTGTCCTTCGTGACCTTGCAGTGCTGTTGGCAAGGCTGCTGGCAAGCTTCAAAGTGCATCCATCTGCCTGTCAGTGGCTGCTGTTTTCCTTACTGTACAACCAAAAAAGGGGTTGAGGGCACCCTGCCTTCATGTACCAACTCGCCTGATGCACGGATACTAATGTGCTACCATGCAAGTTAGCCAAAAATTGGGTAGATGCTCACTGGCCCATCTGCTGTGTTCCTGTGCATACTCTTGAAAAGGCCTTTGGTGTGCTTCTCTGTCACTTCAGTGGGACTGACCAAGTCCCTTCCAAGCTGAGCCTAGTTGGTTTTATGCTTGTATGGAGATTCACTGCCCAATAAGTGTGGGTTATGGACAGCCCCTCTTCCATTTGTTCTTTCCTTGATTCTCTGGGCTCTTCAGTACATTGAATCCTCAGGCTGCACGTCTTCAGGTCTGTTGCACCTGCAGCCTCCTCTTTCCCAGCCTCCTCTCTGGGAAAGTCAGCAAAAGAGGGACCACTTGAGTCTGTGAAGAGGCATACCAAGTTGAGGGCTGGGGTGGGTGACCATGCTCTTGCCCTCACCAGAAGTGAAGAAAAAGCATCTCCATCCAAAGGGCTCCTAGCACTACCAATTTGAAAGCATTGGGCAGCTATTCTGTCTTTTTCTGCTTTACAGCTAATATCCCAGAAGGCAGAAACACAATGTAAAGTAACCTTGATAGGTTGGAGCACTGGCCTGAGAACAACCGAATGACATTTAAAGGGACAAATGCAAAATTCTGCACCTAGGAAAAAGAAACCACATGCATAGCTACAAGATGGGAGATACTTGCTTCAACAATACTACAAGCAAGATGGGTCTGGGAATTGTTGTAGATTACAAGCTGATGATGCTTCAACAATGTGTTGTGGCTGGGAA